ATTTTTCTCGAATAACTCGGGAACTATAGCAATTGCAGCCATTGACGTAGTACCGAAAATTGTAGAGGTCGACATTCTCAACAAAAAGTTTCTAAGATATTTTACCCCTACTCCCAACGGTTCATCCCTAAGAGCCACCGAAACACACTGATCGGAAAAAAAATTAAAAGCGGGCAAAAGAATAATAATTTACATTTTGTTTTAATAGAAATATAATTCTGATTCTGTTAAGTTTCAATCTCAAAGTTCAAAATTCAAAAATCGTGGAGTTAATTTTAAGGTAATTGGATATCTTTTCACCGCAGCACAAAGCATCGACGCAAGTTCGAACATAAACCGAACAAGTCTTATTATCATTACAAAAAATCCAAATTTATAAAACGTGACATGCTAAAATTCTCATATTATGACTTTTAACTATTGATCTAATGGGTGGAATAGCTAAGTGGAGGTATCAATTTGAAGAATTCAATGAAATCAATGACATGACATGCTAAAGTGACCATATTATGGCTGATAGCTAATGATCTAGTTTATGAAATGGCTATGGATGAGATGCGCATTTGAAGATCCCAATGCGATGTACAAATTGATGTATAACATGTCCTCGTAGGTCAAGTAAGAAACATTGATCAATGGCAAAAGATACCATTTTTTGAATGTCACATAACGTGAAAAATGGAAACAATCGCCAATAACCTGATGGAAATGCATTCTAGTGGGGTTTATCATACAACATTTGGAAGATAAAGATAAATTCTCTTCGAAATGATATATGAATAGTCCAGCCTAGTCCATTTAAGCGCATCAAAACATCCGACCAAAGCTACTTTTTTAAGACAACTAGACAAATTGATTTCTGCTTGAAATTTTGTGCTTAAAAGTGTCATAAGTTGATGAAAAGTGATGAGAATTGGATGAGTCTGGTGCTATTTTGAAACGAATTTTTCCTACTGGGTAGAGTATATTATGATTCATGGAAGGGGAAAATATAGAAAACAAAGAAATAGCCTGGCGATCATCACGGATTTTTTACTGATGGATAAAGATAAACATCAATTGACGACTGATAATACAAAATTGCCTCATTTGAATCAATTCATTCGATTTTTGGCGACAAATCGATCAGTAGCCGAGAATGCATTAATTGAATTTCAAACAAATGAAAAACCCTTTACTCTTTTAAGTTACATTATATATTGTTACAAATTTTGTGTCAGAACCTAATGTTGGGGGTACTTCATTTATGGACATTATGTGAAAATGATCGATTCTATGAAGAAGATAGGCAAAATACGCGTTTGTTTAAATTCGCAATATTCTTTTTTTTTATTTTTCAGTGCATAAAAATTGAGGAGTTATTCGAATATTTATTATCCTCCCTTGATTTAGAGTTTATACGAATGTTCAACTATTCGTCAGGAAAATTAAGAGATTGGATAGGTCCCAAGGGTACACACGGGTTGTAAACGATGAGACAGCTCACCACTTGAGCTATACGATGGACGTATTGAAAGAAAAAAACAGTCCATCCAAAGGAAACTGTCTAGTCCGTTTTTACGAGAGGTTCATACCTCAGAGGTTCGGGACGTGAGAGAACCACTCAAATTTTACCATCACATTTTGTTGATCTATGAATACGTTTAGTTCCAATAAAACGCATTGACCAAAATGGCCTCCTAGTGAAAGTGATTCTATAGAATATTTTACTTTGACGACTCTGTTTACTAACGAAAAAAATTACCAGTCAGTTTTTTCGGTAATTAGGTACATTGACTACTCCCATTTCCAACTTTTTCAAATCCATGAATTTTTTCTATTTGAGATATAACCTGCAGTAAATAAATATCCTTAGCGTCGGACCTGAGTAGCTGTTAATGTATTTCAGCTCTTTGAGTTATCTCCCCCATTTTTGTGGATGCTCATGTAGCTGTACGACTACCCTCACTTCGCTGTTCCTTCAAAAAGCATTTAATGTATAATTAAATAAACAATGTTATGTTATGGGTGCAATAAATTCGAGGTGTGGTGAAGCACTCTTTTCAAAGAGTTTCAAGCCTCACCAGGACTTGGCATGACCCAGGGTTCGCGCCGGGGACGCGACTAGTATAAA